GGGTTACCACAACATGAGGAACTGTATTAAGGGGTCATGTCATTAGGAAGGTGATCTAGCACCTGTGGTGATGGGATAAAGTGATGCCAGCATATTTTCCGCTGCTCTAGAGACTCGAACATGGAATGTTGGAAGGAAAAGAGATTCCTCCTAAACATTAGGAAGAATTTCTTGTCAGCTGTTTGACAGTGGAATATGCAGCCCTGGGATGTGGTCGACTCTCCTTCTTTGGAAGCTTTTAAGCAGAGGCTGCATGGCCATCTGCCAGGATTGCCTTGATTGCATTTCCCTGCATGGCAGGAGGTTGGACAGGATGGCCCTGATGGTTTTTCCAACTCTACCATTCTATGATTTTACGTGATACATTTCTGCTTCTAGCAAGTTCTTTAGGGCCTTGCTGGTGAATTAAGTACTATAAAAAGGTTCTTTCTTTTGGATTAATTTCAGCATGAAATGTAATGAATTGTTTCAGAAGTTTGGTGTTTGCGTGCACACACATAAAATTCATGAGATACCATGAACCATTGGCGGTTGCTGATTACTCATATGTACTCTTTGTGTTGCACGGACTTTCCAGCTTTTCTCCTCAGGGAGCTCTTTACACATTGTTTTTACACTGAGGAACTTGGATTAATGCCATGGGTTTGAAGAGATGTTGGGGATTCCACACAGGGCACCGAGTAGCCCTCCTAGTCATTCAAACTAGAACTCTGAACTGTGTGAACTTCTACCTGTTCTTCAGATATTGAAATCTAGTATCTTCTTTCTTTGTGGGAATACTTTGGCTGTAGAATGTATATCATAATGTCAGGTGAGGTTGCTATTTTTCAGATGTGTTTCCCACAAAGAAGAAAGATGCTAGATTTCAAGTACCGCTCTTTTGTTTTTTATCCTGGTTTCTTATTAGGTGGTAGCTTTTAACAGCATTGTGTTAAAAATTTGCTCCCATGTACTTCAGTTTGAAATAGTACCGTTTATTCTATCATCACAGAACTCTTAAAACCTTGCTGCTTTTTAGACAATATACTTGTGTTTTAGTATAGCAGCAGGCAACATCTTAATTATTTCTTTAAAAATCAAATGTGCCAAGGATTGGTACCATCTTTGTGCCCGTTAACTATGTTTCTTTCATTTTTTTTTTCTGGAAACTGGCACCAGATTGTGGAGTCCCTCTTTCTGTAGTACTCTTCTAGATGAGAGCTACACACAGTGGTAGTCCATGAACTGATGACGATCTACAAGCCATTGACTTCTATTTTGCAGAGAATTTCCAGGAAAAAAATGTAATCAATGAGCACAAAGATAGAGCTGGTTCCTGGTACAAAATGAGGGTGGAAATGCTCATATAAGTGATCAGACAGAATTAGAAGCACTGCTTACAGTAGTGGTTTTCAACCTTTCTGATGCCATAACTCCATTATTCCCCTTCCTCATGCTGTGGTGACCCCAAACCCTAAATTATTTTCATTGCTACTTCATAACTATTTTTGCTACTTTTATGAATTGTAATGTATATATCTGACCTGCAGGATGTATTTTCATTCACTGGACCAAATTTGGCTCAAATACCCAATATGCCCACGTTTGAATACTGGCGGGGTTGGGGGGGATTGTTTTTGTCATTTGGGAGTTGCAATTGTTGGGAATTATAGTTCACCTGCTATCAAAGAGCATTCCGAACTCCACCAATGATGGAAATGAATGAAATCTGACGCACAGAACTCCCATGACCAACGGAAAATACTGGAAGGTTTTGGTGGGCATTGACCTTGAGTTTTGGAGTTGTAATTCACTGATATCCAGAGAGCACTGTGGACTCAAACAATGATGGATCTGGACCAAACTTGGCACGAATACTCAATATGCCCAAATGTGAACACTGGTGGAGTTTGGGGATAATAGACCTTGACATTTGGGAGTTGTCATTGCTAGGATTTATAGTTCACCTACAAAGAGCATTCTGAACCCCACCAACTATAGAATTGGTCCAAAATTCCCACACAGAACCCCCATTACCAACAGAAATACTGTGTTTTCTGATGGTCTTTGGCAACCCCTCTGACACCCCCTCATGACCCCCTAGGAGTCCCGACCCCCAGGTTGAGAAATGCTGACTTACAGCATTATGCCCTGTATAATAGAGAGATTAGGGAGTGTCTCTTTTTACAAGACTATATTTTCCCATGAACAGTTTTATAAGTACAGGTTGAGTATCCTTTATCCAGAAATTCAAAATCTAAAATGCTCCAAAACCCAAAATTGTCCACATGGATGGCTAAGACAGTAACACCTTTGGTCTCTGATGGTTCAGTCCACAGAAACTTGATGCATATGAAACATAATTGAATTTAATGTTTAGACTTGAGTCCAATTTTCAAAGTATCTTATTAGATATTAGGAAATTAAAGTCCACCTGATTAATAAGGGCAACTTTTTCTGTGCTCAAAAGTTTTGCATTGATTAAAAGCTGTAAATACATTTGTAATGAGATTATAGTTGTTTTTTAAAATCTTGGTGTGTTTCCTGAGGGACATATCTTAATACCCTCATACAAAAGATATTGTGCAGTTTTCCAGTTCTTAACCATTTTTTGTATGAGAAAAACAGGTTGAGGAAGTGGTGAAAATATTTTGAAGATGTATAAGCAAGAAAATGCAATATCTAGACTCTCCACAACATTCAGTGAATGAAGGTGAACAATTACACAATAAAAGCCTTGTCTGGAAGCCTTTGTTTTCATGCTTGTAGAAAAAGAAGGTTGCAATGATATACAGAGTCCTGCAGAAGCATTAACGCCCAACTCTGACTTTTCCACATTGTGTTACAACTTAAAAATGAAAAAGGTTTGATTGGGATTATCGAATCAAAAGGTTGATCACTAGAGGCATCCAGTCCAACCCCCTTCTTCCATGCAAATTTATTTATTTATTTATTTTATTTACTTCATTTATATACCGCTTTTCTCAGCCCTTGAGTGACTCAAAGAATACACAATTAGTGCATTCCCTACAGAAGACCACCCAGCCTCTGTTTTAAAACTTTCATGACACTCAGAGATAGTATTGTTATAATTTAATGTACATAAGATACTTAAAAAGGCAAAAGTACTAGATAGTTTTACCAGGACATGAGGATTAGTAAAAAATAATAATAAACTAGTGCTTGTAGGTTGCATAGGTCTTCACCCTTCATTCTGTGATATGAAGAAGCAAGCTCTGTTGCAGCCCAGATCTATAAGTAGTTGAATTGATTCCACCTTTTGTTGGACAGCACATTTAAACAAGCACTGTTATGAAAACTAAGGAACCAAAACAAGTCTAGGATAATGTTATTCAGAAACACCAATCCCGATGGAGTATATTTTTAAAAAACTAACTATGGACTTCCCCTGGAGCACAGTTATATCCATTCTTACAGAAATGAAAGAATATGGCCTAGAGGAGGGCATCTACCCAGTGACAGTAATTGGGAAGAAGGGTAATATTCATCAGAAAGCCAACTAAGAGGCCATTGGCAATTTTGAAGGAATTGGAGAGTAGTTGTGATGGGAGAAATTGTCCACGGAACAAGTATCACCTAAAAACTCCAAAATTGAACACCAGACAAAAAGCAAAACCCACTGAGAATTTTAAATAAATGTGTGAGAAACATAGAACAACATGAAAAATGTTTATTTTTTAGTTGAGACTAACCCTGATCTTTTGGGCCTTGCCACAAAATGGTTTATGTGGCACAAAGCCAACAGTGCTCATTACCCAGAAGAAGTATGGGGGTTACAGCATCATAATCTGAGGATGCTTTTCTTCATCAGGGACTCAGAATCAGGCAGGATTAAAGAGGAAGAAGGGTGGTGTGAAATATAAGGAAAATTCTAGATGAAAACCTGTTTCTTTCTACAAGAGACCTGAGAAGTTCCTCTTCCAGCACGACAGTTATCCAAAATCACACAGCCAAAATAACCTTTGAGTGGTTTAAAGGCAAGAAACGGCATGTCTTAGAACAGTTGCTTAAAAGCCTACATCTTCATCCCTATGAGATTCTTGGAAAGTCTTGAAAGGTCCAGCTAACCAGCAGCTCCTATCCATTTGATAGAGCTGGTACAATTTTGCCAAGAAGAATGGGAAAAACTAGTAGGATATGGATCCACGAGACTAAGAGTCTTACTAAAGAACATTGATAATTATTCCCTAAAAGGCTTCTATAAATAATTGACTTTGGAGTGTAAATCGTGAATATTTATGCATCCAACAAGTGACAGGAATTTTTTTATTTACTTTTGTGCTTTGATAAAGCTATTTGGCATTTTTAGAGTGCTTACTATCAAATGCAAATCAAGTGATCACAATGCCAATCACATTCTTTTCAATGCCAGGTTGTAATAGAACAAAATGTGGAACATCAAAAAGAAGGTGGTGAAAATTTAAATTTAAATTTTAAATTTAAAAGCTGATGGCTGTTAAAAAGAGTGTATCTGCGTATGTGCCATTCACCTGGGAGTAAATTAGAAATTGTATGACGTACAAATGTGTTTGGACTGTAATTTTAAATTGTTGCTATGTTGTTTTAGTATAAAGATGCTTAGAATAGGAAACATCCTATGTATGCGTGTACATGTACATGCATTTGGCTAAGCTTGGCTAGCAGGATTCCCCATGTTACCAAATCTTTAGGCAGACAAAATTAAACGGCAAGCATCGACACAAGTGAGCTAATGCCATATTCTTTTTTCTTCCTACTTAATTCTCATTGCAGAGAGTGGAAATCTCCACTGGTGAGGATGGGAAAAACCATATCCCTTTGACATCCGGGTGATCTGCCTTTATGCTGTGTTTATCTGTACTTGTCTCTTTCTCCCCCTCTGTTTTTTAGGGTAGATGGTATACCCCAATGTAGTTCGCTTCATTGAGACTTTGCTGGCATGTCAAGCTGTGCAAGGGCTGTCTTTGCTTGCATCTCCTCCTGCTGCTTCTCTGCGTCTGTGTGAGTGTGTGGGGAGGAGGGGGCGGGGCGGGGGTTTCCTCAGAATAGTACAGCCCAGACAGAAGGTGGAAAGGAGAGGATTGCTCTTCACCTGCTTAATAGGCAAGGCTCACTATTACCCGGAAGTTCTTCCTTGTGAGGAGGTGGGGGTCTTTCCTCCCTTGATGCAGTGAGCATCCCCCACCTCTTCTTTGCTGCTTCCATGAGGTTTGTTTGAACGGAATCCACAGAGATGAAGAGATGCAGCCCCCCTGGCGCTAACTCCAGCCATGTAATACTGGGTAAGCAGCTGTGGTAAAAGGAAGGGGTCTCCCCTCCCCTCCACTACCTTAAAGGATGGGTGGGTAATACCACGAGAGTGCAAGAGGAGGAGGGAGGTCTGGGCGGCTTTTGTGCATGTGACTACAGTATGTCTGGATGAATCGTGGTCCTGAACACTGTTAGAGTGGTGGTGGTTGGGGGTGAAAAATGGATTCAGCTGGGGGATTTACATTGTAATACAATGTGTCATTACTTGGAAATTAATTTATTTTGAACAGGATTAAATTCCCAGAAAAAATGTGTGGCCAATATCAATAAGATTTTCTTTAAGAAGATTGGGTTGGGGGCGGGGGGGGGGGGGGGGGGGGGGGGGGTTGAACAAAAATTCTCTAGCATTTCATCTGTGAGCCATGTTTGGTTTTGGAGACAGGTGTGTGTGTGTAAATACGGGGAGGGGAGTCAGGATGGATGGAATTTCTTTGTAGGTTGAATCATGTGCTTAAACACAATGAGAGAAGGAGAAAATATGGAATTGTTATTTATATGGATATTTTATGTAGAAGGAGAGAGTGTATGTATGCTTGAAAGCAACTCTGTGTGTGTGTGTGTGTATGTAAAAAGCTGTGTATAGAATTCCAATGAACTGGATTGGAAAAGAAAAAGGAGCTTCCTTTGCCATGCATTATTTGTGTCTTTACATCTTTTGTTTGTATTATTTTCCTTTTGTTAGTGATTTCTGTAACTGTTTGTTAGCATCTACCCTGCTGTGACGTGGTATCAACCTTATTCTGCAGAATGTTTTTTCTTTTTCTTTTTTTTAAAAAAAACCTTTGTGTGTGCTGTATAGTTCCTCCACCCCTAGGAATTTTACAGATGGATTCATCAGGGCTTTCACCTCAGAGAAGGAAGAGTAATATAGAGAATATGTATTTTTAAAGAACTATAAACCTACCATACTTCTCTGGGAGCAAATGCTGTATTAGAAACAGTGGGATTTACTTCTGATTAAACATCACTGCATTTGTGTTTCTAAATTATTTAGCTGTGCCGATGAAATAATGTGAGAGCTCATTCCTATCTGGGAGAATCTCGCCATAGGTAATCACCAAAATGGAATGACATTCTCTTAGTTTACTTAGTGTTTAAAAAAATCATTGTTGTTTAGAATAATTAATCATAGTGATATGTATTTACTTTGTGATTTATATCATGCCTTTATGTGGTTATTTGATATCCAAGTTGTGCTTGAAATGAAAATAATATAATACACTGTTTAAGTAGGTTAGTAGATTATAAGTATTTATTTTGCATAGAAGGATGTCAATCAGAAATAGAAGTAATAGTATTTTTAAGGCATTGCTCGATATTGTAAAGAGAGGTATTTAAATGCATCCTACAATCCTCCTTTACATTCCTGTTATATTTCCTTCAAGTCATTCCCAACTTATGGTGACTGAAAACACGCCTACTATGGGGGTTTCTTGGCAAGATTTGTTCATTGCCCTCCTCCAAGGCTGAGAGTATGTTACTTGCCCAAGGAATGAAATCAGGATTTGGAAGGTCAGGTAGGTCACGAAAAAAGTGAAATCTACCATGACTTATAATTTTGGCTATTTGGCATATATATAGATATAGATCTATCTCAGAAAAGTGAACCTGTACTTTAAAATTTGAGTATATTCTTGCAGCTTCAGTAGCATAAAAGAAACTATGGTAGACTTGAATTCCCCAATAGAGGTGGAAGTTGAATACCTTGGAATAAAATGAAACAATTTGTTTCTTAACAAAACAATTTAAATGTAACAAGGAAAAAATTAATGCTTCATCATCCTTGTTAGTATGTTGTCATAATGTGAGGTTCTCATTTCATGGTGTTCTCTCTCCGTGTTGTAAAATGTTGCGATTGATTTTATATTAGTCATGAGAATGAGCTTCATTCCCTTTGGCTATGAGTAACTTATATGAGTGAATGTAAATACGAGAAAATCACAGTGCAACCTCTTCAGAATAAAGCCTGAAAATAGAAGCAATATTATTTTTTAAGGCTGCTACTGGAATGTTTAGTTCAGATGAAGTATTGGAGATTTCCAATATCTCTCTTATAAAATGTTAGTCAGCTGTTGTGTGTGTGTGTTTACCCACTGGGAATGTAGCATGTGGTTTTGACTTGTAGTTGAACCCGAGTGCTTCCCTTGGACAAAGGCCAGGATTCCTTACAAAAGACTGAATCTCTTACTGACTGATTTTAAACATCAGGGACCATTCCATTATTTGATGGAATTAATACTAATTATATTTAATCTGGTATTTTATTAACCTTATCAATTTGTTTAGTAATGACTTTCTTTAGAAAGCATGGGTAAGAAATTAAATTTTCCATAGAAAATTGAGGCAACTGTGAGGTCAAGGAACAGATATACCAGATTTCTATTTGCAGCCCTATAAGGCTGTAGCTTGGATTTTGTTTGGAGAACTGCTCCATCTCTTAAACGTTGCGGAAAAGCTCTAATTCAGATGGAAATTTTTCAAAATAAAATGAAAGCATGAACGGTTCTGAACCTGTCCTTGAAAGTAAGACACGTGGTTTAATTCTTGTGTCCATTGTAAGGTAATTGCATGTATCTTTCTTTAAAATTTTGCTTAAACATTGCACCCGGAAAGTCCACCCTAACAATAATAGTGTCTATTTTTCCCGTTAATATGCCTGCTTCCTAAGCAAATAGGAATGATCTCAACCCAGTTTGGCTTATCTGCTCTCTCCATAAGCATTGAAGAAAGCAGGAAAGCAGTTCTAGGGTGCCTGCCTCAGGTTGTAGCTCTTAATTAACATGAACAATCCTTACAGTTTTTGTTTTGCATAAAGTATCTTTGGTTGGCTAAGATTAGGAAAGTAAGATAGTTTTAAGTCTTAGGCTAAAGCAGGGGTCCTCAAACTAAGGCCCGTGGGCCGAATAAGGCCCTCCAAGGTCATTTACCTGGCCCTCGCTCAGGGTCAACCTAAGTCTGAAATGACTTGAAAGCACACAACAACAACAACAACAACAACAACAACAATCCTATCTAATCAGCCAAAAATAGGCCCACACTTCCCATTGAAATACTATTAAGTTTATATTTGCTACAATTGTTCTTCATGTTAATCATTGTATTGTTTTAAGTGTTTTGTTTTTGCACTACAAATAAGATATGTGCAGTGTGCATAGGAATTCATTCATGCTTTTTTCAAATGATAATCCGGCCCTCCAACAGTTTGAGGGACTGTGGTCTGGCCCTCTGTTTAAAAAGTCTGAGAACCCCTGGGCTAAAGTATTGGAATACACAAGCATAGACAGTGGCAGCATGGTCAGGGCAGAAAGAAAAAGACCATGACTGCTAGATCATCATTTAAGCTAGCGTCCCAAAGCACGTAGCCTCTGAGAATATTTGGAAGATTGAAGATATTGGAAAAGTAGTTCATGTGGAGCTGTCAACTTTCTGCTCCCAATGACAATTCATTGATTCTGTGCAAACCTAGAGAAATTAGCTCACAAAACCATCTGCTTAAAAGAGTATAATAACACACAAAGTCCATGTATTTTTTATTATTAGTTGTCCTACTATTCTTCATCAAAGGCAGTGTTTCCCATATTTAGGTTGGAACTTGGGTTAGGTGAGAGTGTCTGATTGAAAGTCAACCTAGTGAGTTCATAGCTGAGGTAAGATTTGGATTGGAGACTTCCTGGCTTACAGTTGACATCCTTTGCTCCTACGCTACAGCAGCTTTCATTCATGTTGAACTGTTTATTTAAAACGCAGGAAGACAGCTTAAGCTCCAATTACTTCTCAACTTTGCCAATATTTAGAGGTGCAGTAGAAACTAGACAAAAAATATTGAACTTCTGTATCTGTAGCTTGTTATTATTAACCTGTGGAAAATATCCAAACTTTAAGACAGCATTTAAAAAAGTTATAGATGTGCTAATTCCTAATCAAGAACAATATTTTATGATACTTGTAAAACTGCGACAGCTTCTGACTCTAAACACCAGCTAGAAAAAAAATGAGCACCAACAATAGGATATGGTATTAATTATTTAGATGCCAACAACTGATTGCTGGTACTTCACAAGGGATCTATGTGCGTTTTGGTGGGAGACATTCTTGTCTTGTTTTCCTCACGTTCCTCTGTGAATAATGCAAAGCTCAGAAGATTTATTTCTTTGAATTGCAAATCCCAGAATCCCTCTGGCTTTGTTGGTGAAGTCTGTGGGCAGAAGTTAGTTTTCCAAGCCCTGCCACAACACATTGTTTTCTTGATCAATCAAGCATTCTGAGTTTTGTCTCTTATTTTAAGTTTGTCTGTACTAGATGGTGTTATGATTCATAATGATCATGGTGACACTGAAATAGTTTTAACTGTAGTATGGTCCATATAGAATCAAGGAATTGGTAAAGTCCACTACTCCATATTTTCTTAGAATCACTTTATCTATGACTTATAGAGCTAACTAAAATAAATTTTTTTTGGTAAAAGCTTACCATAGTTATTAGACTGTCTGATGGGTGGAGGTGGAGAGTGTTCTTCTATGACTCAGAATGTCTTATAAGTGCTTGCTAAGCCTATATAAAAACAAAAACAAAACCTTCAAAAGAAGTTGTGGCTGCTTCCCACTGGGTTTGGCAGCCCCTGATGATCTGATCTCTTTGTTGCAATCTTCCCTCTGGTATGTTGTGTTTATGCCAAGAATAACTAGAGAGCATTCTCAAGAATATATATGAAAACTATTCATTTTGTATTGATCTGACACTTTTGAGGTTTTGAAGATACTGATGGTAAAGAGGGGATGTCAGGACGGAGAAGAGGTATATCGGGAGGAGGGGCAGACTCTCTGGCCATCAAAAATCCTACTTAGTGTTTCAGAAATAATGCAGTGAAGTTTAATCCAAACCATGTGTTCATTCACACAGCCCAATACATTCTGACTTAGGTTTAAGAAGAAAGATTATAGGTTAAAATAGCCATCTCTTGAAACAGTATTAT